TGAGCGGCAATTTCCAAGCGGCTTTTGCTTTTTCAGAAAAAGTTGCCATTTTCAATTTTCAAGCGGTTTCCGGGGGCTGGAGAAAATCGGTAAATTTTGTCGGCCGCTTATATGCTGCGAAAAATTGCATTTTTTCAACGCTTTTTTTCAATTTCCAAGCGGCTGGAGTTGCCCGGAGGTGGCGCGTTTTTCGCTACAAAACCCATCACACCGTCGGCCCTTGCCGAAAATGCAACTATCTTTTTTGAGATTCAGACCGGGCGGAGCTGCAAAATGCTCTTTTTTACCCTTTTCCCACTTGATAATTGCTGTTTTGGTTGCTTTCGGTTAAATTCCCAGAAATTCTGCCTGATCCGCTTTCTGAAGGCAAAACACACTTGGAAATGCCCGATTTTGCCAGTGATTGCATACTCCCGAATTCCTCCCATATGGCAACGGCAAAGCCTTCGCGCTGCGTTTGCGATGGATGAGCATCTCGCAAAGAGCGCTTTGCGCGCGGGCAAGCCCGCGCGCAAAGCGCTCTTGCGAGCGCTTGCGCACGCTTTGGTTACCAGATCACAATCCGAAGACGTAACCAAGTACAAGGAAAGAAACACGGCACATCGCTTCTCCATCGAGGTTGTAAGTGTGGAGGCCCCTGCGCTCCGTCCGGGCATGCGCCTGCTATCAATATTTCATGTTTCATTTCATCTACGCTTGTTACGACCTGAATATGGTTTTTTGATGACGGCTTTATTCGGACTCCTTCTACCGATGTATTTTGTCATCGGGCTTCTTGCCATCATACACGAGAGCATCAGTTCATCATACAACAGGGGGACATCAAATAAACCACATGCGCGAAAGATTTTGCGAAATAAAAAGACACTTCATCTCTACCACCGGATGGCAAGTGGAAGTGGTTCTAGAAATAATTCTGTAGTAGACAAAAAACTTCGAAGCCTGCGGAGTGCGTCGACTCTGATTTTCTAACCTGCAACCATTTCGAAGAGGTGTGGTGTTGAAATTCAAATTGCGTTCGCGATGGAAGGTTCTTGTAAAATGAAACGATCTTTCGTCTTGGGGCACGAATTAAAACTAAATGATGTTTATGCGTGGCCTTGGCTGCTGCACCTTGTTCCAAGAATACTAGATACTTCAGACACAATCGGTGTAGAAGTTCACTGTAGACATTCCTCCCACATGGCCAACAGCTCGTCGATCTTTTCCTTTATCAAAGTGAAAAAAGCCCCCACCCCCTATCGGAAACGGAAGATGCGCGAATTTGTGATGCTGTATTTGAGTACACAAATCAACTTGTATTGCTGGAAAGCCAAGAGACGAAGCTGCGGCCTAAATTGCAGGCAATCTGTCATGCTGTTTCCCACTTCCAGTTGCCTCGTGTCATCCTGGAGCTGCAAGGCTTTCCCACGCTAGACAGCACTACAGTCCGCATCTTTTGCCTTCGAGCATCACAGAGCTCATTTGTGACCACAAATCTGCATCACAGATTTCCGTTTTAATATGGGGAGGGGGCATTTTTCATTGTCATATCCTTGGTAACGTGTTCCATGGTGAAGACGTGGATGTTATCAAATGCAAATATGTCTGGGTCTGAAAGGATGCGAACTTGTGATGCATCTTGCGGACCGTACAACAATCTGTGTTGCGTGACTTGCAAAAGGTGCCCATTTCTGTCCATGCTGAGAGGGTATTTCTCTTGCAGAACAGGCATCACCGAGGGGCTGCAGATCCTGTGATGCTAGCCCCTGCATTCCAGACTTGGTGGAGCTTGGATAAACTGCATCACAAATCTCCGAATCTTCCAGACCCAGACAATTTTGCATTTGATATATGTGGCCGTGCTTCTCCGCCTTGTCCTTGCTGGTCACCTGCACATACTCGGGGAAGGGCGCCAGATGGAACTTTTGGAACAGCTCCTTCGGCGGCACGGGGCACATGACGCACATCACTATCCCACAGAGAAAAGCTGGCAGGGCATAATTTTTGTATAATGCAAAAATAAACACACAGAAAAATCTGTCACGGGCTGCCTCATAGCATGCTGGTTAGGATACGCAATACAGATTTTTTTGTGTATTTATTTTTGCATTACAAATGTGGCCCGCCAGTTTTTTTCTGTGTGATAATCACTCCCGGCGGGTGCCACGCATCGAAGGGAAGCGCGTTTTTCCACAAGTTTATTATGCATTGCAAATATGTTGTCTGGGTCTGGAAACCTGTGATGCTGCGTGACGTATCATGAGGAGGTCACAAGTGCTGGCTCAGCATGACAAGTTTCTCAGCCTTTGCGTGTTGCCTATTCTGCATGACAAACTGCGTTTCTGCATGACAGAAAAGCGGGGCTCTTGGGTAGCCTGCATGACAGATTTAAGAGTCATGCCAGACAAGCATGACAAACATGCATTCTTCCAGACCCAGACATTTTTGCATTTGATATTGATTTTTCTTGTACAAGAAGATGAATTTGAGTCAACATCGCGACCACACAAGAACTTCTCGCCGTGGTGCCTCCTCTTGTTCAACTCCGTAACAAAATAATCCGCGGTTTCCAGGCAGGTCCTCTATGCAATGCAAAAGCATCGCACTCGTGTTGCAATCATGCATTACAAATCTTTTTCTGAGGACAAATCCGCATTACAAAAATTTCCTTTCTCATGCTGAGGAAATTTGTAATGCATTTGTACGAGTACGATACTTTTGCAGTGCATATCCTCGTTCTTTCCACCATGTTTTCGAAGAAATTCTTTTCCATCAACTCCTTCAGCACGATGAAGGGCGCTAGCCCGTTCCGGGACCCCGTCAAGGTGGTGTCCGGCGACCCGATGTAATCGACGTAGTGGTGCTCCCGCATGGCCTTCATGCGGCACTGCCGCAGCAAGTAGATCGAGCAGGGGAACGGAGTATCAAATGCAAAAGCGCCTTGGTCTGGAAGATTGCAACTTGTCATGCTGTTTTTGGACTCTAAAAAAATTTGTATTGCATGACCAGCAAGAGGGGTGCAATTTGTGCTACACGGACAGGGCATTTCTCATGCGGAAGGTGCATCAGGAAGCCCTCTAAAAGCCTGCGGTGCTAGGGCATGCATTACAGGCGTCATGGGTCATGCAAAATATGCATGACAAACCTGGCAATCTTCCAGACCCAGACATTCTTGCAGTTCATACGGCGTCCCCATACGCTTGTGGAAACTGGTGGTCTGGGAATCGACGAGCTCGTTGCTCACGTCGCAGTCTTTGTAGTAAGGCCGGCCTTCCAGAAGGTCGTGGCCCGTTGAACAAGTGTCTACCTCTTGCCGCGACCCAAGATGCAGTTGCAGTTCAGCTTCTCGTGTAGACGTTTTGGCATTCAAGAACGGCGTGATAAATCCCCCGAGGGCTGCGTCCAGGTGGATGAAAACCCGGCTCCGCTTTAACTGCAAATCCTTGTACAGCACTTCCGCCAGTGCCGTCACGTCGTCGATCGCGCCCGTGCGGACGGACCCGCTGCACGCAACCAGGATAAAGGCCGGGGTGAAAGAGAACTCGTGCTCCTCCTGCTGCGCAGCAGAAGTCGTACAACAACTTCCCGTGTCGCCGGCAACATCGTGATGATTCGGTAACCAACCACCAGCCGCGGAAACCTTCTCCTGCACTTTTCGCCGCAGGTCTTCCGGGTCCATCCGGCCCTCCGCGTCCACCTCGATTAACAAAGCCTCCACGCCCACCAGGTCGGCGGCTTTGGTGACGCTGTAGTGCGAGTCCGCCGCGCAGAGGCAGAAGATACGAAGTTGGGGACGGCAATAGGAAGAGTTGTTGATAGTTGTACTAGTTTTCATCTCTTTTTCAACATCTTCTGCTTCCTGTTGCCACATCTGCTGCAGCCAGCGGCGCGCGTTGTAGATCGCAAAGATGTTGGACTCGGACGAGCCGTGGGCTATGTAGCCCCAGAACCTTTCCGGGTCATCAACCCGGTACAGCATTTTACACAGCAAATTGATCGCCTGCGCCTCCTCGTCAAAGGTTTGGACGTACGCGTTTTTGCCCGTGTACGGGTCCCCCAAATTGTTGCAGCAGTTGCCCAACAGGGGCCAGTACTTCGTTAAATGGTGCACGTTGAGATTCATTTGGATCCCGAGGCAGTTTTTGCTCTCGGCAACGTTTTTTTCGTAAAACTTGGCTGCGGACGGGTCGGCGGCGGGAGGTGTTGGTGACGAGAGCTGGTCTCGCTGCTCATTCTTGTCAGGCCACTCGGTTGTACTATCCTCGACTACCTCGAGGGGGGCAACGAAAGAACGACGGACCGCACCCATGGTTTTACTTTAGTAATCGTCTTCTATGTGATGTACTAGGCGCTTGCTCTAACTAGCAATTTTTATTCGTGAATTGTACCACTAGATATGATTGCTTGAACTCCAACAGAAATTCCTTTAGATCAAGTGAGTCTTTCTCTACTTTAGCGCTGCGGAGTTCTTTTCATGCGAAGTAGTCTTTACGTTTTTCCGAAACTGTTAACATTAGCCGAGATCCTTTTGCAGACTCGATGCGTCCAGCAAAAAAACACTGTTGTTGAATTGAAAAGAAAACCTATGGGCCGATGACTGTGTGCAGAAGATTCATCACGGGTCCCGACTTATTTCTCAAGCCAACCGACTACAGGCGCGCAGAATTCTTCGGCATGGAGCACCTTGCGCTGATTTTTCAATTTCGCAGTTTTCTTGTTGATCCGGTGGTCTTTCCATTTTCGATATTGATCCGAATTTCTACGAGGCGCGGTTTGCGGTAATTCGTTAGAAAGTCCATGCAGATTACAACCGATCAGCTAGATGTGATCAAGACGCGAAGAACCGACAACATTTGAAAGCGTCAGTGTACAGTTCTTTTCTATCGATTGGATACCACAACAACGTCTTGTCTTCATTGGGGCTTGCTTACAACAACAACAACAAAAATGAAAGCGCGGAACGCAGCTGGAAGCGCCGCACGCAGTTGCGCCATGTTGTTCTTTTCTGGGTTGATAAAGTCGCCTGCGTCGCCGCGAAGGAAATGATAAAATAAAATGTCCTTTAACACTCTGACTCAATAAATGAAGATGAACTGTCGTGGCTGTGCAGCGTCGCTAATTTGCATGCTGTTCGCGGAAACTCGAGACGACAGCGCGACTTTGGTAGGTGTCGAAATATCTTTTGGGGGATCGAAACTTTTTTTTTGCACGAAGCAGCTCTTTCAAGATCACAGACCCCTGCTTACCGCTCCGGTTGTCGCCTTGGAGGCGCCGGTTTTCTCTTCAGTTCCTAGCTGTTACTTCGCAGGTATGAACTATGGTATCCAGCAAATAGTGCGTGATCGCGATGCAACTGGACCCAAGCAACCCCACATCAGAGAGCCGCACACCCTGAATGGCCTCGATGTTTGCTTTCGAACACGCGTTGCACTCGTCTACTGCCCGATCTTGGTTGAACAGGCCGTGTAGCATTACTTCATAATTACGAAAACCAGGACAAAGCGGAATGCCCTCGTGGTCTCCGAGCAGCAAGACGTGGTCTTTTGCACAGCCATCCGAAGATAAAAGTTCCTCTTCTTCCCGCCTATTCGCTCCTTCATTTGCCGACGCTCCTTCATCTGCCGACGTCTGGCTGTCGTCTTGTGCGAAAATAAGTGCTTCATCTTGCGAAGTAGTAGCCCCCGAAGTAGAAGATACAACTTGCTTTCTGCTGCGGGCCGCGGTAGTACTATTTCTAATTGCTCCCACCTCTGTGCCCCCTGCTCTACTTTTCGACGCCGCGGGTTGTACTACTTCCCTTCGTAACCACTCTTCCAGAGGCGGGTACTTTTTTTCTTCATCTAGGAACAGAATTTTTCTTCGCCCCGCATCTTCCAATCGGAACACGGACCGCAAGCCTCCCACCGTGCGGGATCTGGCGGCAGAGAGGAGCGGCTGAAGGTGGTGCGAAGAAAGTGCAGCAGCTCCGGGGGGCATCTTCGTGGCTCCTTTGGTCTTGCTGTTGGACTTTGAAGATATTGCCGGTGGTTGATCATTCTCAGAACCGTTATTTTCAGTGAAATAACTCGATGCAGCCGTTGTCAAAAACTTCGCAATCCAGGCTTCCGACATGGCCTTGACGTCCGACGCCTTGATTCGGTAGTACCCCTCATACGCCCAAATGTCGAATACCACGTTTCGGCGCTTGCCGTGCCCCGTGAAAAAGGCCTGCTGGATCATGCGCGCGAGAACGTCCGGCCGCAGGGACTTCCTCTTCACACCCGTCGCCGCTTCAACACACAGATTCTCTTCCTGCAGGCGCTGCAACACCGACAAAGGGCTGGTGTTGTCATGTTGGTCCTGCTCCCGTTTTATTTTGGAGGCAGCACTTTTGCTAATTGTGCTTTCCTTCCGCAGCCATTTGTGTGGCGCGAAGAGAAGAAAATGTCGCGCGCCACAATGTGCCCGCTGTCCCGGGGAACATCGCAGCACGGCCGAGGAATTATGGGGTCGTGTTGTCGGGGGCCTCGTCAAAAATGCCGAGATATTCTTAGAGGAATTAGGTGCACTACTGCCAGTAGTATTTTTGTCGCCTATTATCGAATAATCTGTTTGTTCACAATCTTCATTTCCCCCATAGAGGTACAACTCGTGCTGCAGCTCGGGACAGTGCTTCTCGAAGTGCCCGGTCTGGCCGCAACAGCGACAGGTCATGCGCAGTGCTTCCGGGCAGTCCCGCGCGTAGTGGCCGGGCTGGTGGCAATTGTCGCAGAAAATGACCCTCCGTTGTAGATCTTTCTTTCGCGGCTTGGCGTCTGTTTGCGGACCATGGACGAGAGGCTTCGGCTCGGCGTCGCTTGTCGGTTGTACTTTCACCGCCTCAACATCTTCACCCAGGTTTTCAACATCTTCACGAGTGGCGACGATGGTCGGTGCAGAATTTATGTTCCGAGCAGTTGTAGTCCCGACCGTTTCTTTTTCAAACTTGGCTACCGCACTTGATGTTTGCCACGAAACATCAACGAGAAGCGCGGGATAGGGGATCGACGCCACCATATTTCTTTTGAAGTACTTGCAACCCTTTCCGAAGTAGTAGCAGATGGCTCGTGCTGTCCCCTCGCGGGGGTGCTGAGGTCTAATAAAGTCGTTGAAACATTATCTCCGTGATAAGGAGTGGTATTAAAAACGACAAACTAGCGGCTCATAGAAATTTCTGCCCTGTTGGTTTTTGTGGAAGTGGACCACGGTCGTTAGTTGAATTGTATACTGGACGGTAGTTGTGCCACGAACATCTTCGTGGGTACAACTAAGTACCTACTCCCGCGGGTTCCGCGTAGTGGTAGTACATGAGGAGGACAGTAGGGAAAATAAAAAACATTGGAAAAAATTCTCCGCTTCTGATCTTACCCTTGTTCAGCTCAGTTGCAATTTTGATCCACCGCACAAATTTCCTTTTCAACATCTAACAAAGGAACTCAATTTTTCTTTTTTCGACCCCGTTTGAGCGCCGCAGCAGCGTGACGCCGTGCTAAATTTTGAACGCGCACGCGCAGGGAAGATGCGTGGCCAGTTTCGGCGGCCTCAGAGAACCTGGTCGCCCGACCCTTGTGGCCGAGCACTGCGAATGCAGCACGAGGGGGGCGAAGCACGCACGGCGGAACGAAGGATCGCCCGGAGTGCTGCAACGAGCGCTGCCCGCATGAGCGACGGGCGGGTGCCTCGAGGATGAGCCGTGACCTGCGGTGGCACGCGGGGCAGCGTTTCAGCTCGTATGCCGTGGATGCCCACGGCAAAATTCCGGAACGCCATGCCGCGCAGCTGTTCCATGGCGCGGACGTCAGTAGAAGCTAGTAACCCGACCTGCCTGCTGCGCTTGGATCACAAAACAGCGTCAAGGGGGGGCGCCTTGCGTCCGAAACCGACTGCCCCGGGGGGCGCGGGCTTGCCCGAATTCCAAACAGGCGGCCGGCCCTGCGCGCATCCGCAAGAAAGTCGCGCGCCGCTCCCGGAACGCAACATCGGCCGCCCGGCGCCGCGGGCCGTGCAGGAAGATATGGCCTTGGTCTCACGGATGAATAACGCCTCCCGCGGTAGGGGGCCGCGCCGCCTTCGGCCGTCGTGCTTCTTGCCGCACGCATCCAGAGGCCAAGGCGCTTGCCGCAGCGGGGGCGGGCCGCCAGCAGCCCGCGGCGCGGGTTGCGGCGTGGTTGCCCGGGGCCAGATTCCAGCGCGCAAGTCGATCACGCACCCGGTTCGCCACGCCCGGTCCGTCGCGTTGCCGATCCTCCGCGCTAGGAGCCGACCGGGTCCACCCCCGTGGTTGCTGCGGTGCTTTGTGGGTGCGTAGCATTTTGCGAAGCCGCTTGGACATGGGTCCGGCTGCGGATTATGCAGCGCCGCTGCCTCCGGCCCGTTTTCCATGAATTGGGCATGGTAGGATGCATCACAGGAGGACTTTGTTCATTTTTCAATTTTTTCAAGAACTTCCCAGATTTTCACAATATGGTGGAATCTGGATGATTGTGCTACGAGCCACGGTCCGCGCCAGCAGTTCCTGTATTTTCTTTTATCCCAACAGCCAATCCAATACCATGCAATGCTTATTTTTCCTATTTTTTGACTTTTTCAAATTTTGAAAAATTCGTGCGATGATCATACCCCTGAATTTTCTCGCCAATATTGGCAATGAAAATGGTCTACTGTATGAAATTGCAGGATCTTTTCAGTTTATAATGCGGAATATATTTTTAGTGATAAATTCACGGCATTTTTGAGCTGTGAAAAAATTTCAAAATTTTTTCAATGTCAACGCTACTTTGTGAAGTAGTGTGTCGTCGTGAGATGCTGAGAGGAGAAGAGGGCAAGCGAGGAATTTGGTGCGTGAGCTTTTTGAAATTTGGAGCGCTTGACACGAGAGTGTCTGGCTTGAAAGAATCGCACGGGAAACAACTCTCATGAACAAATCAACTTTTGAGCCAAAGCCTGTAGCTGCACTGCTTGTTTTTTTGGGGAACGTGAAAAAATCTACCTGCACAGGGCCTCCTTGTGCGTTTCTGCATGAAAATCTGCTTACTAGTACCGCTGTGGTGTTCCGACTTCGATATCTGCATTTTGAGTACACAGCTTTACTATTCTAAGATCGGTCGGCCATGCCTTCTAGTCCCGCGCGCGTCGCGTCCGTCAGCGATCATTTCTGCTACGAAAATATCTGTCATTCTAGTTACGGCCCTTCTCTTTACGAAATTTGCACCGATCTCGACGACCGCACTGATTTTCTCTGGGATCGCACTTACAAGATAGGAACAGAACAACAGGACCTGTTAGCCCGCGTTACCCGCCTTGAGAAAGAAGCATCAGACTTGAAGCACGCCACGCCCGTAATCTCGGTTGCAAAAGTTTTACAGCGTCTGTCTTCCCGCATTCTGCCACGCAAATAAATCAGATTCTAAGTACAAACACGACGAGAATCTAGTACAAGCCTAGGGGTTCTACTTTTTTTTCTACTTAGCAAATCCGCCTGTCACGATGAGGAGCGCGCGAGAGAAGCGAGTAGTTGTTCCTGCCGCAGCACCATTCTTCTTCATCTTGATTTGTTACACTTTGGCGTCTGCTTTTGTGTCCATTGTTTCCGGAATCTGCTTCCATGCAAAGACGAAAAATCAAAGTACACACACGGGGATCCTACTAGAGCTGAACCTAGAACCAGAGGCGTCGGGTCGTCATGTCTTCCTATTCTCGAGCTCGCGACGCCCTATCTTAGATCCGTATTCTGTTAGAGGCGACGACGAAGGGGCTACAGGCATACTTTACTTTAACGCGGCACCCCTGACGGGACTCTCACCCAATGAAGTCCTTATGCATCACTTACAAAACGAAAACTTTTTCAAATATTTCCACCCACCCAATTTCATAGGAAGCAACTTACTTACCTCTAAAGCACTACTTACTGTCGGAGCACCACAGCGGAGCGCTAAAAACTTTTTTCTTTTTTCACACTTTTGGGGCGTTCAGATCCAGAAAAGAAATCCCGATATGTCGGGAATTGACTGGTCGGCCTTTCCTACCCGCGCGCAGCTCGAGCGGCAGCGAGCAACCAGGCGGCGCATCGGGTTTGTTGAAGGTCTTAACGAGAACACGCGCTGCATCTTCATCCGGAGAGAGCGGTTTTTTGCGACCCTCGGATCCGTTGATGATGGTGCAAACGCCGACGAATGGATCTGCGTCCGGTGCGTCTCCGGCAAGACTTTTTCTGCAGTAGAAATTTCCGTCGCGGGGGAGGAAAACCGCGTCGAGCTGCCCACCTGGATCCAGTGCATTATTACCACCGGAGGAAATCCGCCCGTCAAGCGAATCGCGTCGCACTTCGTCAAGTGCCGCAGCCTCCTGATCTACTTCCCCCGCGCTTCTACACCCCAAGACCGACTGTCTTTTTGCCGCGACATCGCGACCCGCTTTGGTCTCGACAACCCGCAAATTGTGACGATGGACGCGCGCTTTGAAGCAGGAGCACAAGGAATCTTCAACACCGCCGGGGAGTTGACCGATGTCGCGGTCGAAGCCTTTTCGCGCTTTGGAGTCTTTGACAAGATGGGGGACCACAAGTTTACCAGCGATAAGGACCTGATGTCCGAAGCGTCGCAGAAGATGGAATTTTGGGGGTTCGACAGCGAAGGCGTTTTTTTGTCTGATTTGTGTGATGAAGAAGTGATCAAATCTATTTCCGACATTGACGCCATTGAGTCTGAGGCGTACGACGAAACCGGAAAGCTGATGGAGATTGCGATGACGCCCGAGCTCGTGGTCGTTGCCTCCCCGGAGAAAGCCCTGATGGGTACTACCTTGCAGGAGCGCCGCACCATTTCTAAGAACTTGCAGCCCCGCCTGCTCAATGACGACACTGCCTCGGTGATCCTCGACCCGGTCGACCCACCCGACTCCGTTATCGGAGACCCCGAGAACACCGTCTCCTCCGACTTGAAAGCCCTGATCACGTCGCTGAAGTACCCGTCCAAACCGAAGAACTTGCTCCCGATCGACGAATACGGCAACTTGCACCTCCCCCCGTCCCCACTGCCGAAGTCCCTCGCTGCGTCGCGATCCGCATCGAAAGCCGGTGGGGCGGGACCACTCGGAGGTACTGACTCTTCTGGCTCCGACAGTGACGCGGTCGACAAAATTTACGCTGGCCTGCAGGAGATGCTTTTCGCGAACGACTTGTTTCCGGTCCGCGCGTGCAAGTACCTCGTCGAGTACGAAGGAACAAAAGATGATATTCCCCACGACAAGATGAGAGGAATCATGCAAAAAGTCGGAAAACTGCATGAGATTCCGGAGAAGCTCTTGCAGGTCCCGAAGGTTAAGACAGGTGGAATTTTTGAGGACGGTCTCAAGTCCCTGCACCTCCCCTCCGACAGCGGGAAAAAGGACGGGCTACAGGTTTTGTTTCTCCAGAACCAGTCGCAGAATCGCACCTGCACCGACGAAGAGTTCAAGTCTTTCCCGAAACTTGCTATCAGCGGTTCCAACTACATCGCGGAGCGTGACGCCATCTGTCAATGGTTGTACAACATCGCCGATGGCAGTTCAATCCGCGATAAAGCAGTGGTTTACTCGAAGGGGTTCTCCGCCATGCAGAGAATCAAAGGCGAAAAGGTTTCTGTGTGGGTCTCGTGCATGCGCATCGCGGACAACTTCAAAACCGAACCAACTTCGCGACGATTTGAAATTGGCTTCGAGATGGCGCTGGAGACCTTCCAGAGCGACCAGTCGAACACCCACGACGGCGAATACATTGGTCTCTTCCGCGTCCTTGTCTCCAACGTCGACGATTATGTGAACAAAATCTTCGCCGAGGACGCTACCAGCTACCTGGAACTTTTGATGCAGTCGCGCATGATGTACCAAGCCCGCATGAAAATCGACAACGAAGCCCTGGCCGGGTACCGCATTGCAAAAGAAGAGCCACGCGCTGTGCAAGACGTTTTTATCCGGCGCTGGCCCAAACTGAACGAAGGGCTCAACCACTGCTACGAACGCTGTGTGCGCAAGCACGAAAAACACCCGAGCCGGTTCATCGTCGCGGTGTACCACGCTGCTTTTGGAGTTTTGACCCTCCTCCGGAAGCACCAAGATACGATCAAGCCGCGCCCGAAGGAGATTGACTCCAAAACTTCTAAGGAGATCGCGCCGCACAATCGCATCAAGAAAAACTACTACATCCCCACAAACGACTACACGGAATCATCTTCCTCTTCTTCCGCGAAGGTAGTTGGTGCGTCTATGAAAAACGCCACTACGGGTGAGGAAGTCCCGGTCTATGACAACGACGACGGATACAGTTCTATGTACGACATCCCGGGAGTCTCTCCCGCGCCGTCCACGACCCCGGCTTTCCGCTTCAGCTGGGACGGAGATGCTGAAGAAGCGGTGGAGGCGAAGTTTGACCTTGCGATCGGTGACAGCAGTGATCTCCCCATCTGCCCGGTGGCGGAGGCAGACCGGTGGGATTTGAACAAGTATTCAACTCCCGAGTGCAAGGAGAAGGGTTGGTATCCCCGGTGGGAGATGCAGCGCGATGGCCAGCATTTTGTCTTCATCATCTATGACAACCGGTCCGACATCCGAAACCGAAAACTCGCGGGACCGGGACCGCTCCCGGGAAACCTCTGTATCCTGGCGCTTTTTGGACAGTGCTTCGCGCACATGCGGTGCGGTTGTGCCCACTGGCAGCTCGAAGACTGGGCAGCAGAGGTTTTGCGCAAGCGCTGCATCGCCGATGGGTTCAAACCGCAAGAGGGCATCGAGCTGATTGCTTTCGCGTTCCACCTCCTTTTGTCGAACTCGAACCGCACATACCACAAGGAGTTCAAGGGCTTGTCGGTTAAGGACTGCTTCAAGATTGGCTCGGAGAAATACTCCATCAAGAACCCGCTGAAAATCGACCCGCGTACGAAAAAAGACGACCACCGGATGGCAGCTGCGCGCATCACCTTGCCTGTGTACTCGAAGTTCATCAACGACTGCGACGGGTTGTCCCAGGAGCAGAAGGACCGTCTCCTCGAGCTGAAGCGCATTTTGCAGCGCATCAAGCCGATGTCCCTTTTCTAGACGACCCCACCGATGAACCACGACAAACCGAGCCAACATTTTTCATTGGTGGGGTGAATCAAGATCCCCGCTTGTGCGATTTTTTCGAGGACAAGCAGTCGATCGAAGACGCATTGGCAGTTGAAGATGAAATGACACATGATGAATCTTTTTGCTCTTCTCAAGAACATTCTCTTTTTTCAGAAATCAGCACTCAGCAGGAGGAGAACGCTTCGCCGGCGGATGTCCCCCCAAGTGAAGGAGTTAGTGACGACCTCGACATCGCGAGCAACTTCAACGCGATCGGCGAGTCGGAAGAAAACTCATCGGCTTCAGGAGACCAGTCTTTTGGACCAATTTCTTTGATTAGCTTCGAGGACGCCGACGGAGTAGTGGTTTCTGTTGAATCTCCACCAACGGGCGGCATCACTGGGCCAATCGCGGTGGAAGCCCCCTCGTCAACAGCCTCCGACTCAAATCGTTTTTCGCAGATAGCAGATAACACCAACGCTAGTGGGACGGAAAATACCGGCCCTGCGGCACAAATGGAAGAGTCGCAGGACCGGGACCGGTATTCTTATCATTCATCTTTTGGTGCGAATGATAATACCGGTCCTGTGAGTCCTTTTGATGATAAAACTGAAGATTTGTTGTCCTCGCCTCCGAAACTTCAACAACAGCACTGCCTCACAAAACCGTCCTGTTCCGACACTCCCCCTGGAGGGATAACCGATCCCGGCACCGGAACTGGCCAGATGCGATCGAATGCCGATTTCAACGAGGCGCGGCTCTTAGGCCCTGCAAGATTCAAGATGGTCCTCCTCGCCCAGCAAGCCGTGCGGGAGTTCGATTGGAGCCATTGGATCACTTCTGGGGAATGGCGAGACGAAGTGTCGAAGCAGGATTTTGGATACCTTATCCGCAACAAAGATACGGACGAATCTTACTTCTGCCCTGACATTTCTGCAGAAAATCGCATTTCCATTATGCGACCAGGGGTGTTCGGTAACCCGTTCCGCATCACAAACGAAACCGAGAGAGAATCTTCGGCAATCAAGTTTGCAGAATCCCTTGCAGAAGAAACCGCTACTGACGCGCTGGACGCTTTTTTTCAGAAGCAGGTCGATCCTGATGCTACTGCTAAGTGCGAACTCGTTTGCGTCTGCGCCCCTGACCTGTGTCGCGGTGTTGTATGGGGAAAGGTGGAACAACTCCTGATCAAAAAACTCCAAGTAGAAACCGCAATAGCAACGTCCCCTACGCCTTCGCGAACTCTTCTTCCAACGGAACAGCCGGGAATGAATGTATCCTCCTCGGACTCCGACGATTCTCCCACGGCAAAAACAACGGAGATCCCCGCTAACGACCACGAGGAGTACGCCCGGTTCTTGCGAGAAGCTACTGCTTTTGAAGAAACGTACGAACAGCGGCAGATTGCGAAGGGCTTCAATTGTACCGGAGTGAAGAAGGTTCGTGAAAAGGTTGATGGTCGCGGAGGTCCTGTGCCACTCCTTTCCTTCCCGCCGCCGTCGCGATGGCGCACTGTCCGTGAGCCGATTCTCGTTGACCACAAGCTTTGAAGAAAGCACTCGCATGTTGTTGTCCGCGTGGGTACCCGCATTGTCATGCCCGACAAGTGCGGCTCAGACCCGTTCAAGTACCTCTACCACGGGACAGACGAGGACGTTATGGACGCAATCGCAGCAATGGCTTCTGTCAGTTTTCTTTCGACTGAAAAATCCGGCTCCGCCCTGAACATAACCCTCTGCCTCCTCAACTTCCAGTTTTTCGAGTGCCAGCACGCGATCCGAGATAAAGACCAATGTGTACCTCCTTGCACCGTGACGAACTTGAACCCTCTGGCCTGTGACCCGAAGCTCATGACGTCGGCGCAACAACTGTACCACGTCACAAGCACAATGGCCTGTGGAAAGGTCGCTCTTGTCTGGGGCGTGTTTGGGTCAGGAAAAAGTCGAACAATCGCCGCGGTCATTTGCGAACTGACACGCAACAAGGTGTGCCGGTGCGTCCACTTTTGCGCGGCACAGAGTCTCGCTCTCGACTCGGTCATTCGGAGACTCCATAGTCTTGACGTCCCGACCGTCCGTTTTTCTTCGCGAGCACACCTCGAAAAGCAGAAAATGTCCAAGAAAAGCATCTTATCCTCCTTCGACGAAATTTGTTCGCTTGTTGGTGCTGCTAGACCGACGAGCGTATTCGCCGAATATTTGAAGGAGAAGAAGAAGCGTGATCGACTTGCCGCGAGGAGAATCTACGACAGAAAACAAGAAAAGCGATTCCTCGAAAGTCGGAAGTGGTGTGTCAAGGTTGTCCTGCGGAACGCAAAAGCAGTGTGCACAACTGTGAACAATTCCCCGAGTGTCGGGGGCGCGGGAGCCGAGATTACAATCGTCGACGAGGCAGGCCAAATTCCGGAACACGAGATGATCCCCGCAGAAGCAGGCGCGCAGCGGATGGCTTTGGTCGGAGATCACAAACAACTTCCGCCTGTGATTGTTTCTTCACGAAAACTCCCACCGCCGAAGGCAGCAGTAGCAGGACAGTCCGAAAATGCGAAACTTCTTCCCCCGACTGTCCCGGGACCAGGCAGCTTTGACGTCACTCCGCTGCGGAAGAGCCTTTTCGAACGTCTGATAACAAATGCAGCCGGAGAAACAACAAACGCCACTGCTTTTCTTGACACACAGTTCCGCTGTCCACCTGTTCTCGCTGCACACCTGAGTGCCGAGTACTACGAGGGGAAGCTGCGAAGCGCCGAAAATGCTCCTGCAGAAGCAAAGTACACTTTTTCGCACCAGTTCGTCGGAGTCGATACAAAACCAGACATTTTTCTAGCGCGACAAGCAACAGACCGGATAAAGCCGTACGTCTCCCCATCAACAGCAGAACGCGTCCGAGAAATGCGAGACTTTCTTGCTTCCAAGGGTGTGCTTCTGTCCGACATTCAATGTATCTCAGTCTACAAAGCCGCCGGCTCTGGGATGATCCCGCTTGTGAAACCTCTCGCCCTCGAGGGGATCGACGCATTCCAGGGAGGAGAAGTCCAAGTTTTGTTTGCGCTGATCCTGACTCCGCCTTCCGGCCCTACCGAGTGGGCGACAGACCCGCGCCGCAATTTGGTTCTGTTGTCGCGCGCTATTAGCGCTGCCTTCGTCTTTTACCCGCGCGTCGTCCAGGATACCGACACGTGCTTGAAGTCGATGGACATCTACATTCGCAACGCCGAGAAGTGTATGCATATTAGCGACACCTCTTCTATCCCCATCACCGTCGAGAAGGTTTCTGCGCCAACAGTGACAACAGTTGCCGACACGAAGGATCCAGCAATTGTCGCCGAGATTCTAAAGGACCTCGACGGGGAAAAGACAGCGGACGACCCAGCTGAACAGGCCACGATGTTTTGCTTGCGCGAGAGTTTTTCCTCAGAACTCCACCGCTTCAATTCCGTCAGCGGCACTGACGACTTAGAAGACTTGATGTTCCTTGACTTCGAAGATCTTGCCCTGGAGGTCAACGACAAGGCAGTCGAGGCAGCTGTTCTTGGACACCACGGAGGGAAAGAATATGCTCTTGAAGCTCTCCGCGCGGCGGAAGCAGCAGACGACGGCCACTGGCTGGACCCACACCTTTTTGGCAAAATTAAGAAAGGAGAAAACTCGCAGACTTCGAAGCTAGAGCAGAAGAACAAATACGGGAATTTCGAAGTCTCCGCTAGTGAGATTTTTGTAGCGAAAAACGGGTGCAGTTTTTGGGTTGGAAACTTCGCCGCGACCAGTCTCCCTGGGTGGTACGTGGTCACTAACTGCACCTCGAATGTAGAAGACGCCAACAATTGCGACTTCTACCGTCGAGTCCCCCTGGTTTCCGGTGCGGAAAGCCGGAATGTCCGCGCTTCGCGAAAAAATCTGAAGTGGATTCTTCGGCACGCACAAGCAGAGAAGAAGACTTTGCTTCACTGCGTCTGGGGACTTGATCGCTCTCCTGCTCTTTGCCGTGTCGTCGCGTACTTTATCGATGGGCTCGAAACACCTGCTGTCGAGATTTTCCGACTGTTCTCCGATGCCAGACCTCGCGTTAGGTACAGCTTCCGCGAGTACGACAAGTTTTGGCGCGACGCAATCCAAGCGCAACCTTCAACGAGAGTCCGCCTCCTAGACGACAACTGCATGATCGAGTCTCTCCTTGACGGAGCCCGCGCCAACCCGAGCAAAATCATCGACGAGGACGACTTTATCCTTGAAAAATGTGTGCAGGTGACCTCGAAAGCGATCGCTGCGATTGAAGCGAAGCCGCCCCGTTGTCCTCGATCCGCGATTCCACCACGAACATACATGATGAGCTTTCGCCTCGAGTCTTACAACCCCGACTCATTGAACATCTTCCTTTCAGATCCATCGCGAGCATCTGACGCTGCAGAAGTTTTTGTTGCGCTCGCGCCGTCCTGTCTCGGACTCCCAGAAGCAAAACTTTCAACGAAAACGGCGAAGACTGCGCGCGATCTTGTTGCTGAGCGGAATTATGAGCTCACAAACTTCCTCAACGAGCGCGAAGAAGGAAAGCATGGGTGTTCGGTTGCAATCCCCGTCGACTGCCCGCTGAAACCGATCGCGATTCGCCGAGGTCCAAGCAAAGAAGGCCGCATTGCCATCGTGGAGTGCCTCTACTTCAGCGTCATTTTCGAGTACGCGCCAAACCGTGTCAACGACGCAGCGAACGCAGAATATGACAACGCCATCGCAGGATGCCTGCGAGAGCTGTGGAAGAGAACGCAAAAGCCATTTGTTTTGGCAGGCGATAGAAATATCGCGCCAGAAAAGAGAGATATTGCGCCAAGTCCACGGCTTTCTGCAGAGCAGGTCCCTTCCACCCGGCAGACAGACCGTGACGCGTACGACAAGTTGATCAAGGAGTTTTCACTTACCGACGCGTGGAGGTGGTGCAATCCGACCGCTGAAGGGCACTACACCGGGTTCCACCAGCAGGGGAACTGTCTCCGTGACAACGTCGGGGCTCGAGTCGACCTTTTTCTTCTGTCACCAGGGATGATGCCGCTCCTTCAAAACTGCCAGATTGTCACGACCGTCCACAAACGTCTTGGAGATCATCATCCCGTCTACTGCGACTTTTTGTTGGACTTTGGGGACGAAGTCATTCGGTCTGCCGCAGCGAAAAGAGGCATTGCAAAAGCTCTCGCCGCCCCGGCAGTCGACCCAGCAGGAAGGCAAAACTCTTCTCTTTTTGTGGGCTCCGTCGCGCATGACGAGCGGTTTGGAACACTAGACTTCGAAGAACAGCCCGTGGCAGAGGAGGAGGAACAAGAAGAAGGTAAATCTGAGCAGAAGACAGAGTTTGCAGAGGAAGACGAGAAGTACAAGAAAATCGAGGAAAATTTCCTACGCTCGATCGGGGTTCTCAAAGAATCACACGCGTACCAGAAGGCTCTCGCGGTTTTGCGGAAGTGGATTGACGGCCGTCTCGCAGCAGGGTACACAACTTCGCAAGTGTATCAGATGTTGATGATGGACGACGCAACCGCTCCTGCGTACGCACTGGACGACGCGTTTTTGAAATTTCTTCTCAATCTCGGGGCGGTGATGGAACTCGGGGGTAAATACGGAGTCGACAAAACGAAATTCTTGTCGCTGGTCGAGAAAAGTTGTGGAATGATTTTGAAGGGCGGCTGGCTATCCGTCCCGGAGAAGATGGTGAACGACATCAAAAAACTCGCTCGCTTACCACCAACGCCGCGCCTGATGAGACGGCTCCTGGGGAAATTAGCTTTCTGTCCAAACACCCTTGGGCTTGAGTACTCTCGCCAGGTCCCGATCCTGATCGACCTTTCTCGGAAAACCCTGCAGGAATACATCCGAAAACTCCAAGAACCAGCAGCAATTCACGCCATGGAAGTAATTATTTCTTCTTCTTCTGTCACGCCGCTTTGCCCAATTGATTGGGATCTCGTCGATAGCGGGAAGTGGGTCGTCATTGGAATGCCTGATGCTCATTGTGTCGGGTGGGGAGGCGTCCAGTTTAGCATCGACCTCGACATATGGCTAAGCGACGACTGTTCCGATGTGCGTGCTGCGATCCGAATCCACGCAATCAAAAGCACCCCGCTCCCACCGCGACTGCGAAACCGGTGTAGCGCCGAACATGAATGCTACGCGACTCTCGGGCACTATCAGTACATTGACTACTTGATGTCGGGGCGAAACCGGTTTTGGTGCAACGACAACACAAATATCGCCACGATCGAGGATGAGATGCACCGCTGTACGGTAAAAAGTTTCAACTCTGCGATCGGGTATTTGAAAAGATTTTTTGACCAGCCGGGTCCCACGCGTCTCATCCTCCCCGAGATGTTGATGGCGTGGGGAGATGTTGCTGGCCGTCTCCACCGAAACTGCGTTGTCGCGGCGTCTCTTGTGCAAGAGACTTTGTCTCAACCGAAGCAGGCACTGAAGATCCTGTTTCCGCACGTAGACTTCGAAAAACGAGGCGAAAGCAAACGAATGAACATTATCACGGAAGAGGAGGTGAAGGATTTCGCAGCAGCAGCAGAAGAAGAAATGCATTCCTCCTCTTTCCGCGCGTGCTCCCTCGTTGGAGTCGACCCTAGTGTTGAGGAACATGATGTCAATGCGTTCAATTTCTCGGTCGTCGATCTTGTCGAAGAATTTCCGACACCGGAGACACTTGATGGGTTTACGTACGACGACCCCTTTTTGCACCGCGCCCCTGTCTCTCGGTCCTTCAGCTCAGCAGAAGTGATGGAGGTAGAAGCTGCGCCGGCATTGACCGATGATGAAGACCCTGACCCAGTCCTGGAGCCGGTCGCGCAATATGTGATTTCAAACCCAGAGCAGTGCTCTACGCTCTCGGTAGACTTGATTTCTACCGCAGATTCGTCCGCCACGATCTGCTGCCACGAGCTCTACCTCGACACGGACGACCACGCTCTTGCGCGGTCAGGACATCTATTCGTGAAAAGATTCAGCACCGACGAAAACGCCGTCGACTTTGCTCTCGTAATCGGCAGTGTTTGGGACGGGGCCAACCCTGACGCTGTGTACGGCGACGACGCATTTACAATTGTTTGCAGCGAGCTCAAGCTGAAGATGAGTGGCGAAGAACTGCGGAAAAAGTGCGACGGAGTCCTGCAACACCGAGTCTGTGCCGACGAGTATCCCTTGATGACTGTCTCGGAAGTTGACATGAAACAGGTCTCGTTGGGGTTCCGCGCACAACAAATTGTCGACTTTTCCTACTGTGTCGACCTCCTTTCCTTCACTCCTGTTGCTGGGTTCAAGGGTTTCGACCTGACAACAATGATGAAAACGACCCGAATTTTGCGTGTGAGGCAAGAATCCGCGGGGGTGTGTAGCGTTTCGGATTTGGAGCTCGCTTGGCGCATTCGCGAAGACAAGATCGAGCGCGACGACACGTGGACCCCGATCCTCGCGGTCACAGCACCTGCAGTGCGAAAAGCATGGCTTAACGCCGTCTACGACTTCAACGTGCTTTCTAGTTTCCGTGTGGGTGGAAAACGGCATGGAGATGCTGAGAGCGATAGTGAAGAAGGTAGTCGCAAGAAGCGGAAGCCGGCTGGAAAATTGTTTGACCCTCCGCGAGATCGGCCCACGGCAAAAACAGATGAGGACCTCCCCACGGCAAAAACAGAACAGAACCCTGTCCAAGACCCTGCTTCATCTTCGCGCGACTCGCCCCCAGATGAAGGTCCCCCACCTACAGAAGAACGTGAAGCAGGTCCGATTTGTTATGACATTGGAGATGACTCTGATGACGACATCCCTGTCTTCGAACAAATCAAGAACCGAAAGCGAGAAATCACGCATAACGACGTCCAGAACATGTACCGCGAGCTTTTGCAGGAGTCTGATTTTCTTGGGCTGCC